AATATTCAAACACGTTAATGGATACATAAGTACGGTTTAACTACATTTAGGAATTGCTAAAGCATCACAATGTTAACATTTTTAAATTGGATGGGACCTTAAGTCACTTAATCCAATAGCACCCAATATAAGAATCTACAGAATTTATCTCCACTTCCCCCCCAAAATGTCTCTGTAGGCAGTCTTAAATTCTTACAGCTAAATACTTCTTTCCATTGTTGGACAAGTCTTGTTGCTACACAGTTCTTACATTCTTGTCAAAAAATTATACTGAACTCTTATCTATGTCTTCCTAACTTTAACCTGCTGGCCTGCCTTCTAAAACAGGAGAATGAATCTATTCTCTCTTCTACTTATGTTTTTGAAATATCTAAAGACAGCAATCAGGTCTCCCACCCTTTACTCTCTTCTTTAGATTAAATGCATGGTCCACAGACTTCCTTGGGTCCTGAAGACACTTGTGGAGTACAATGTACTTCCACACTGCAAATAACCTTTTTAAAAAAAACTGCCACTTGTCGAATTTTGGTGTAATATCAAAGAATGCTCACTGAAAAGGCTATTAAATATTTATTCCTTTTTCAACTACTTATCTATGTGAAGCTGGATTCTCTTCACATAATCAAAACATATCACAATGGAGAGGGGATACAGGAGCATATCACAACAGACTGAAAACAGAAGCAAAATCCAGCTGACTTCTAGTAAGTCAGAAATTAAAGTGATTTACAAAAATACTAAAAAATGCCACTAGCTTCACCAAGTTTTTTGTTTTAGAACATATTTATTCTTCATAAAAACAAGTTTTTGTTAACAGGTAATCGGATTACTATTATTTTTAAATAAGTATTTTTGAAATTGTCACTTAATTTCTAATATAGCAAATATTAATAGACATGAGCCATATAAAAAAATGCCTTTGGGGTCCTCGATAAGTTTTAAGACAGTAAAGGGGCCCTGAAACCAAAAAAGACTATTTCTCATGAGCAGATTTCCAGATGTCTAACTACCCTGGTTTCTCTCTTTTCTCTCTCTCCTCTGATATGTAAATGTGCCTGTGTAAAGGAGGCACCTACCACATATCTATTCAAAAGCTAGAATCCTTAAACATACAACCTTGCCCTCCTCTACCTAGTGGTTTCATGAAATTAAAGGCCTGTACAGCCATCTGGGTACATCTTCATTTTTAACATCTCTCTATAAGTGCTCAATCATTTGGAATCAAATATTTTAACTCTTCTACCTAGGGAACATAATCTTTAAATATGAAAAGAGAGCAACAGTTTACTGTACTGTGATATCATCTTTTTAATCCAACTACTTTCACTATTTACAAAAAAGTAAAGCAAATTATTCATAACTGGCAGAATAGAACAGAAAAGAAAATGCTAGTATTTTGTATAACAAATCATTAGGGGCCGGCCCGGTGGCGCACTGGATAGTGCGCTGCTTGGGAAGCGTGGCGGCGCTCCCGCCCGAGGGTTCGGATCCCACATACAGACCGGTTCCCACTCACTGGCTGAGCGAGGCGCGGGAGCAACACCAAGGGTTGCGATCCCGTTGCTGGTCCCCGGTCCGGTACGGGGGCGACACTGAGGGTTGCGATCCGTTGCCGGACACGGAAAAAGACAAAAGACATAAAAAAAAAAAAAAAACAAATCATTAGATTCTTAGCAATAACCCATTCAAAAGTACCCACGTACAGATATAAAAAAAAAAAAAAAAAAAAAATCTGATTATCTAGCCAATATGACACTAGGTTCCTAGACTTCAGCAAAGCAAAACTGACCTTTATTTGAAAACTTACTCAATTTCTTAACTCCCCGCCCCCTTACTCACAAGATTAGAGAAGACAAAATGGGATGGAGATTACAGGTTTAAAACCTCCAACAGGGGCCGGCCCGTGGCTCACTCGGGAGAGTGCGGTGCTGATAACACCAAGGCCCCGGGTTCGGATCCCGTATAGGGATGGCCGGTTGGCTCACTGGCTGAGCGTGGTGCTGACAACACCAAGTCAAGGGTTAAGATCCCCTTACCGGTCATCTTTTAAAAAAAAAAAAAAAACCTCCAGCAGAAAACTAGAGCTACATTGCTAAGCACCACTAAGAGAACTTCAAGATTGATATATGAAAAGGTTTAGTACCAAGAGAGGAAAGAAAGTAGTCGACACATTATTTATCATATAAATTTCTAAATTCTAATAGATTCTTAAATCATATTATTTAAAGCTATATTTTATTTGTAATCAAATAAAACTATATAAATATGATTATGGGATTAGGGTAAGAAAGGGAAGAAGAAAACCAAAATATAGAGCATTAAAAATAATCAGATTATAATCTTAGATTTTTGGTTTCAAATATATCAGAACTTCAAAATAAGTTGAAGTAACCGTACAGATATTTATGGCATATCTTTAAAAATAGGCCGTTTCAAAGCTAACTTTGTTTAAAAGGAGTTCATCACATATATATTTATTTATGTACATATAATGTGTACCTCTCTGAAGTTTAAATTTTTCTATTACTATCAGTTAAATTAAGTTGGCTCAATTTTTCAAGAAGCAAAGTTTGTTCTCTCCTTGAAACATACATTCAACACATTCAAGTTCCATTAACATTAATGGTTCTTACTAGCAGTCACCAGAAGTCAAAAGCTCTCTCAAACTTCAGTTTATTTACACAACATATTGACATGTATAGCTGTAAAAGGTGCTAAATACTTGTTAAAGAAATAAAAACTAGGATTCTACTCAATAGAAAACGTTTCTCTCTTGATAGTTGGGTGCTTCATAAATGCAATTCCTGTTAGTATTAGTAAAATCTCAGTATACAGCACCAAGCTTCAAAATGAATATAAAACCCTGGAGAAGATTAACATAGTTTTAACTTACACACTGGTTGGTCGAAAAGAAGCATTTCACTGTGGCCATACAGGTGCTTGGTGTGAAGTATAACTCCCACAAAAGCATGTCCTATTATTTCAGGAGTTAACAGACACACACTACTTTAGGTTACATACAAATATATTAAAATTTAAACTGCAGGGGGAAATTCTGATTAGGTGAAAGTTTAAGCTACATTATTCTAGTCCCTCAATATTTTCAAAAATCAGTAAAAATGGAGAATAGCACAGACGAGTTTTTTAACTGGGGCTGAAATAACCTCAGAAACTCACAATCTAGATTTTGCGGCTCACAAATTCCCAGTACTGACAATACATGTCAACGGATGAACAGTTATTCAACACTATGTCTTCAGTATCTAGTACAGGGCTGGCACATAGCAATCGCTCAATAAACATTTAAGAAATTAATGAACGAATGATAAAAAGGTATATAGCCTTAAAAAATAAAAACGGTCTTTCTCAACTCAGAACACCGTCATTAAGCATCTTAAAATACAGACAATAGTAAAAGCATGCTAAAAGCACCAACTGCTCTATTTACAAGGTACATTCTGTAACATTCGTTTACAAATTTTCAAGTGTAAAAAAGAAAGATCATCAGATGTACTAAATGAGTCATTCAGTAAATAAACTTTTACCTTCTAATAATGAAAACTCGGTATTGGGGTGATGAGATGAAAGCGGAAAATGTCTGTCAACGTATTCCGCATGTATAATGGTCGCCATAAATCAAACCTTTCCGTGAATTTTCTAGAGCATATTCATGCCAATCTTTGAGCCTATTGTCACTTTCACACATGCTCACAGGAACAAAATGACAAAGAATGCCATGCCTGAATCAAAGGATTTAGGGCACAAAACACTTGATTAACAATTGTCAAGGCTCTGAATACTAAATATCGACAGGTATTTTAAAAATAAATTAATCCCACCAGTTCCTACATAAATCGAAGCTCTGGATTCCTTTAAAACATTCACCAGACTGTTGGACTTCCAGACTTTTTCTGTTTTTTGTTTTTCTGAAAACGAGCCTACAATCTCCTTGTGTGAGACAACTGGGAGTGAAAAACCTATTTACCAACTGCTGATGACTACTCTAAGTGTTTTCCAGACAAAAAGAGCGTTAAAAAGAGAGTCCATGCACATGTATTCTTCCCCCATAAACGCCTGTTCTCCCAAATTTCATTTTATGTGGTATACGTAAAGTTAAACACCACCAAGTTGAAATTTTAGTCAAAAGCACTCCGGTGCTTTACTAGCTGTGTAACTGCTACATCTGGTGGCAGCACACTTGCAAGCAAGAAGCCCGAAAACTTAGAAAACAATTGTAACCGATCTGGTGCGTGTCTACAGTAACCTCTACGCAGATATCTCCCACAAAACCCACGACTCTGTCAGAGAAGAACAGTAGCCTACTTGCAGTACAGGAGATAAGGCACAAACACGCAGGAGTCGATGGCGAAGGAGGGAAAGTTGCAACCATCTGGAGGGGTGGTTTAAGAAACCTGCCCACGAGTCAGTCTGTCGTTTAAACTGCTCTAGGGGACCAAGCAGGGGATCAAAGTCTGCCTAGATAATTTCAGCGTCTCTCCCCCAAAGCGCAGAGACCCTGCAAGCGAGGGGCATCCTCCAGATCCCGGGCAGCAAAGCTCGCAGAGTGGGGACCGCCTCTATGGGAGGAGTGCGCGGTGCAAGGGGAGGGGGCTCGAGGATGAATGCTTCAACGGGAGGGAAAACCCACCAGAGAGCGGAGGCCAGGAGATTAAGAGAACCGAGTGTACTAGCAAATGGAGCAGAAAGGGGCTCGCGTCGGGGGGAGGCTTCCCACCCTCGCAAGACTGCCTCCTAGGAACCCCAGGCGAGTCTGCGCGCCTCGCCCCGTCCCCACCAGCGCGCACCCCTTCGTCCGTCTCCTCCGCCACCCGCGAACCACCTCCTACAGCCAGCGCACTACCTCCCCGGGGCCGGGCGGCCTCGCGTCCACCTCGCCACCATCCCCCACCCCGGGGTCGAACGGAGGAGACCTGGGGGACACGGGGGCCGCGGGGAAGGAGGGGAGGCCCGCGAGAGGGCGCGGGAGCGGCGGCTCTTACCTTCCCTGGGCCTCCCGGATGGCGGCGTGTGATTCAGCAGGGACCTGGCCGCCGCCGCCGAGCTCGGGGTTGGAGACGTGGAGAGCTGGGACCAAGATGGCGGCCCCTCCAAACTTCCACTGCTACTTTGGACACTCATCAAGCTACTTTCTGGGAACCCGACTCCCCCCCTGCGACGGCAGCGGCGGCAACGGCACCGGCACCCGCCTCCGTCATGGCGGGGGCCGCGCTGAGGGCGAGCGAGAGAGTGAGGGCAGGGAGGGGAGAGTCAAGGGGATGAGGGAGGAAACCGAGAAGAGGGGAGGTGGGGAGGGGAGAGGTGAGGGAAGGAGAGGGGACGGGGAGGAGGGAAAGGGGGAGAAGCGAGGGAACGGGCGGGCACGCAGGAGAAGAGGCGGAGGGAAGGAGCGCGACGACGGCCCGAGGGCAGAGGCGTCGAGGGGGCGCGCCCGCTGGGACCGGGGTCTGAGCACGGGCGGAGCACGGGCTGCGCCGGCAGATACTTCCGCGGGCGGAACCTGCCGGCACCTCTGCAGTGCGTTGGCCCCCGGCGTCGCCCGGGTGGCGGTGGCGGCAGCGGACGGTGAGTGGCGGCAGCGGGCGGTGGGTGGAGGCTGAGGCGGCGGGGTAACCTCTGCATCAGTTACAGGCAGCGGCGGCGTCACGCGCCGCCTGTGCAAACACTATCGCGAGGCTCCTGCGCCTCCGGTAGCGGCGGCAGCCGCCTCCGCGGGAGCAG